AAAAAATATAAAATTTACATCATTATTTACACTTTTTCTCCCGTTTTGATTGAGGTCTGCTCTTCAAATTTGCTGGAGGGAAGGAAAGCTTTTAGTTCCCTCTTAATCCGTTTTGTCAGCAACGCAACATTGTTGATTAGACACTACTAACTCAAGAATTAAATATAATAATAAATACATATTATTTTATAAAATAAATATATTATTTAAGTTTTAAAATTAATATTTAAAAATTAATTTTTTTTAAATATACAAACATAAAAAAATTAATTTTAAAATATATAAAAATTTATTCATGAACACCATATTCATTCAAACCAAAATAAAAAATTACTTCAGTAGTGTTTTGTTTTTTTCTTTTGTCATGACAGGGTAATAATTTGATTCATGCATAATAAAGTATAGGGTATAAAAAGATTGCCGGTTGTTGCAGGAACAAATTCAACTTTTTTTTTTTTAAAACTAAAATTCAGCGCGCCACTTGATATGTATTCTTAAGAAAGTAAAGTTTGCAATGTGTCGTGATCATGTCTGCCACTGCTACTTGCCTTTTGTAGTTGGGTCAACCAAAGTCCAACAAAATATTGTAATAACTAATTATGATTAACCAAAATTAATTATCATTTTTTCTCTGTGGAACTTAGGCAGTAGCATATTTACTAGTATATTATAAATTCCATAAGCACAAGTCAAAAAGAACATTACCATAAATGAGAATGTTGCTCCTTTCAACTTTGCTAGGCTAATATTAAGTAACCTAAATTACGATGCTGAAATGTCAGTTAATATCATTAAGGACAATAATTAATATTTTTTAAAATTTAACATATTTTACAACATATTTATTAAAAAATTATTATTTTTAAATTTAAATTTAAAATAAAAAAATTTCACTTATAAAATTTAATAATTAAACCAATAAATATTAATAAATGTATTAAATCAAAAAGTATACTAATCATTATCTTATCATTAAATAACATATTAGACAATGAGAAATGCTTCTCATTGATCTAACTTTGCCTATCCTAACAGTTTTGACTTTTGAAGAAGGATACAAGCCTCACCTTATTCTATGCCTTTCTTTTCGTCTGATGACTGAGAGCATAATGGGCCGGGGACCATTATCCATCAGCATGTGTAACACATGGGGAAGATGCAGAATTTGAATAATTGAAATTAATAGAATGCATATTAACAATGTTAGTGGTTTGGAAAAGAATGTGATCAAGTTTCCTTATATACTGTCTGGTTGCTAAGAAAATCCAGAAAAAGAAAACAGCAGGGGGCTGAGAAAAGTTAGACACAAAAAATAACTTCTTTTTTCTTTTCCTTCTGGAAATTCTTGAGATGAACAAACATGTTTACATTAAGCCATTATACTAAGCACAACATTATACAGATTCTTCCAAATTTATCCCAGCACATATGAAACAGAAATTGAAAAAACAGAGAATTAACATTTAGTGGTCTTGATCAGCAGTAAAATCAGGCTCCGAAATCAGGCTCTGCCGGCTTCTGAGGCAGCAGCGGCATTCGCTCCGGCATTCTGGGGGTTGGAGCCTCATCCTGTCGCAAGCTTCGCAACGCATTGGCTGCAAATTTCGACACGTAAATCGAGGCGCCAACGCTCACGCCGGAGTCATCAGC